ATAATCAGGTGGTAATTCCCATTGTAGCAGTTGTTTCTGATGTGGCTGCACTGCTTGAGCAAACTAATGTAGAAGTTACTGTTTGTTTTTTGTCACTTTTAGAAATTTATTCACCTATATTTCTTCCAATATTTTTTCTGTCCCATTCTTTCTCTCCTCCTCTGAAACTCCAATTACTCACATGTTTTACCACTTGATTCTGTCCAACAAGTCACTGAGCTTGTCAATTTTTTCTCTTTATGAATGATTTCTATTTAGCTGTCCCTAAGTTCATAGATCTTTTCTTTCTATGTATCTTATCTGCTATTAATGCCATCCAGTAAATATCTAGTTTAGATCTTGTATTTTTATTGTGGGATTTCATCTACTATATCCATCTTTTCCTGGAGATTTAAAAATCATATTTATTATAGTTATTTCACAGTGGTTTTATGATCATTCCAAGACATTGGCTGTGTATAGATCTGTTCTATTGACTAATTTTCCTCTTGACTATGGTACACATTATCCTGTTTCTTCGTGCCCTATAATTTTTATTTTATGTTGTAGATAATGTGTAAGAAATACTACAAGCTGAAGTTAATTGTTATTGTTATTTTTTCCAAAAAGGAATGTCTTTTCCTTTGTTAGGCAGCTAGAGTGATGGGCTGGTTAGTTAAATCCGATCAGGAGTTGAGCAGGTTTAGGATGGGCTTGTGGCTTTAATCCTTCTGTTAGAGATGTGGAATTCACCACAGGAACCAGAAGATCTTGTATTTGCTTTTCAGCAGAGCCACTACTTCCTGTGCTGCCCCAGTGCTCATATATTTGATCATACTAGAATTTGAATAAGTAAGGGTTTGGTCAGATTGAGTACATTTTTGGGTCTAAAATATTTGAACGTGAGCCCAAGTCTCTCCCTCCAGGAGATGTCTGAGAACACTACAAGACTACTAGACATCAAAATGGCAAGACTTCAAAGTATGAGACCACAGGACTGAAGATGGACTCCCTAGAACCAGGCACAGGAGTTCTGGAGCCAGAATCCCTACGTTCAAGTCATGTGCCAATGCTTTTGAGTTCTCTGATCCAAAAAATCATTCAGCCTCTCTATCTTAATTTCTCCATTCTGAAAATGGGGTAATAAGAGCATCGACTTCAAAGGGTTGTTGTGATCATTAAATAAATATAGCATTACATAAGTGTTAGCTCTGGCTTTTTGTGACAATGATGGCCCTTCTCATCCACACAAGGAAACTGTTCAGGGTGAGCAGAGAGTGGAACCAAAATAAAGGCAAAGCTTTCACAGCCATGGTTAAACCTCCTCACAGCCTTTCCTGATGAATTAGATTGGCCCGATACCTCTGCAGATCCTATTGTTGCTGCAGCGAAGCTGCCCAAATGCTCCTCTCCCCTTTAATTCATTGCTCTTGCCACTTCTTTGGCCCCCTTTTCCCTTCCTTAAGGTTCCAGACACAGGAGTTAAGTTTGAAGATACAAATTCTGGGAGAAGAAAAGTCATGACTTAGCAAATCTTCCTCCACTTGGCCTGCCCAAAGTAAAAGCTCTTTCCTCCTCTACCTCTGTCTTAATCATCCCTGGGAGAGAATGACCCAAAGAAGTCTTGAACATTTCAGATGAGCGTGCCTTTCTTTAGTGAGAACCATTTCCAGCCCCCAGCTGTGGATGACTTTGTCTCCCAGCTCTCTTGCCTATTAAACACAATGTGACAGCACATTGACTAATTGCTGGAGAATGAGGCTCCAAAGAAGGTTTCCAAAGAAACTGCAGTAAGATTGTCAAAAGAACCGAGCTGGCCAGGAGTGGGATGGGTGCCCAGGGCTTGGGGGCTGGGAACACAGCCCCACTGGCGAGCAGCTGAGGCACCAAGCCCAGGGCCTGTCAAAGACATGGAGAATACAGAGCTGGCATCTGAGAGGTCACAGAGCTGGCTCTCTCTACTCTGAGCAGAGGCCTCTGTAGGCACACATTTATCACTTCTGCTCCTGTGTTCAGGATTCCGTTCTTCTCAGAGGGGTCCTGTGATAGAAGGCCACTATGCCTCCTCTCCCTTATCTCTGCCTTCTGAAGGTTGAGTGTGGAGCCTTCTCTGGCTGGAGCCATGGGATAGAAGAACAAAAGTGTTCAGAACAACCTCCTGCTGTGCTCTCTAGCTCCCAACAGTGTCCTTCTCCAAACTCAGCACTTCTCATTTGTATTTGCAGACTAATCAAACCCAAGCCATGCCACACCATGTTTCCTAAACACTCACTGATAACTATTAATCACCAAGCTGGCGGGCCACTGCCTGCCCTGTGAACATCTGGTTAATGACAAGAGAAGCCTGCCAAATGGCCAGCTTGGCCCCAGAGGCCGAGATATGGGTCTTGCCCAGACTGAGGAGGCAAAGGCATCGCTGTGAGGTGTCTGGCACAGGATGGAGATCCCTGGCGCTTGATAACAAGAAATAAGCAGGCCCTCCCTCTGCAAAGAACACTGTTAAGAGTCCATCCAGCTACCCTCTCCCCATTTTCCGACCAGGTGATCTTGGAGACCAAAACAGGGTGGAGGAAAAGCTCCAACTAGGGAGGAAGAAAACTAGCCATCCCTACATTGCAGACCTTTGCATTTCCCTGAGGCCAGAATCCAAAGATGGCCAGCCTCAGCAGTAGGAGCGATTTAAGCTAGGTGATCAGAAGCACTTCCTGATGTGAAGGATTGCTAAAACTATTCTAGGTCAGGTAAGGAAAGACATGTTATCCATGAACTGTAGATTCTTTACTCCAGCTTAATTAGCTCAGTCTATACTATGTTTATATATGTTCATGTGCAAATCTGATTTTTGTATCAATACATGAAATTGAGTACACCTGGTATAATATTTATTTGATGACCCTCCTCTCTGAGTGGAGACCATATCCTGCTCATGCCCAGACATGGTGCTGACCAGGCATCATCTGAGCAATGAGATTAACAGCTGTGTCAGTAAACTTTTGCCATTCAGACAGTGTGCCAAGCCCTGGGTTAGGGACTGGGAAACCAGGTGCTAAATGAAGTATAGATGTTACTAATAGCCTAGGAGAGCACACCTTAGGTGCCAAAGTGCTGCTCACCAAGAGCTTAGCAATTCAGAGAGAGGTGCAGGACAAGTCAGTTGGAGGGGCTCCCTGGGGGAGTGAAGCCTGCAGACTGGGGAGGGGTAGGCATGAGGCGCACATTTTGTTGGCTGGTTTCTCTCACAAGGAATTTCAGGCAGGCCCAAAGGGAGGCACACTGGTGCCCCTAGAATGGTTGTTTTTTCCCAGGAATCTTCCCTGAAATAGGCGCCCAGAGCCATGGGCCTATTAGAATTTGTCACATGGAGGGCATATCCTTTCATTAGAGGCAGGGTCTTGAGGAGAAGAGCTTTTGAAGGGGTCGTTTCCACCTCCCAGAGCCTCTCATAGGCCCAGGGCAGGGCTCCGTGCACCATCCCCCTGCCCCATGGAAGCAGAATCACAGAAGGTGCGACAACTCACCCATCTGCGCTTAGAAGGCATTTGATCCACAAAGAGTGGCAAGCTTGACTGTCCCGGTCCCCAGAGCTAAACATGGGGTCCAATCCCCCTCCCCGCTGCATGCCCCAGGCCTAAGCTTCTCTGTGGGGAGCAGTTCTCAGGGGCTCAAACCTTGAGTCCCACCAGGCTGAGCCCCCACTCTCTACCACCACATGGAGTTGGAAAGGAACCAACAGGAACAAAGTCAATGTTCCCAGAAAGAATTAACTGTTTTAGAATCTGTGTGGCATCATAGAAATGAAGCCCCTGAGCCCAAAATGTGAAGGTTTAATTTCTAGCTCTGCCACTTATTAGCCTGTAACCTTGTGTGCAAAGGAACCAGCAAGAATGAATGAAGGTTAATATAATGCTTAGGGTCTTATATCCTCATCTGTAAAATGAAGACAAATAATAATACCAACCTCATCGGGTTGACCTGCGGAATAAATGAATCAATAGTATAAAATGCTAGGGAGAACAGCCCTCTTGTTGTAAGCACTCAAAAAAAAAGCTGGTTATCATTATTAAACACCTGCCTGGCAATGACAGTGTGGCCATTCCAACACAGGAAGGGTTTAGAGAAGCATCTATTTGGAAGGAGGAGCTTCAAGACTTAATTCTGAAAAAGCATTTGCATAGCAAGCAAATCTTTCTTTTTCAATATTTCTTCATACCCTGAGGAAATAACAGAAATATTTTGTTCGTAGGTTTCTTATGAGGATTAAATGATGATACACATGCTGTGCTTAAAACAGTAAGCACTCAGTTAATGTTAGTCATTTATTTGAGGTGGCTTGAGAGAGTGCTGAAGGTGATAAAAGCAGTGTGGGGGTGACAGTACCATTGTGCCCCCACTACAGTCAGGAAGCCTCTCATCAGGAAGCTCTGTTTCATGCCACAGCTCACCTCAGTCTTCCCTGCTATGGTTCAAGACAAGCACTTACATGTAGGAATTTCCTGAGAATCAAATCAAGGTGCCAGACCTGGGCCAGGATTCCTAGCAGGCTTACTGAATCTCTTCCCCTAGAGGTGCTCATTGGTCTAGGACAAACCTAAGGGTTCATGCTCATCCCTGCCTGAGGATGAGACATCATGACCTCCAAAAGGCCCTTTCAGCCTTAGGACCCTAGCTGCAAAGCATAAGAGCTCCTAGAGCAAGGACCAAAGATATTCAGTCCACCTGAATCACCTGAACTGAGGATCAGGAAGAGTCACAGGTGCCAGACTCTAAAACCAAGAAACCCTGAGCTCTCCTTGCTCATCAGCTGAGAAATACACACTTTTACCTACTCACCTGCTCCAGGCCTGGCCCTGAATCCCTCCCAGAGGGATCTATGGATGGAGAGAGGGTCAGGGGCCTTGGACCACAGGGAGAACTCACTGCATGACAGTAGAGAGCTGATCACATTATGTTGCCTCAAAAAACAGCGATGAAATAGCAGGGCCAAGCTTGCCCAGTTCAGCCACCAACTCAGGATGGTTTACCTCGTGGATCCCAAAGTGGGCATAGGAGTCGAAGTAATAATCTCTTGAGGTCATTTCCTCTGGGTTCAGCAGCTTGGACATCTTGCCCCGTCCTGGACAGCTGGGTTGAGTGGACACATGATGGATACATTGCACAGGCTTGGGTGGGACCACAGGCTGAGGGGGCTGAGAGGGGGGACTGCTCACCTGAGGGTGAAGAAAGGGAGCCTGGTGTTAACAGTGGCAGCGAGGTGCTGCTCTCTGAGATTTTGCCCCTCCTCCCTCCCAGCCCCTGAGCCCAGCTCCAGTCGGCCACAGCAGCCACTTCTGAGAGGTGGATGGTGCCTTCAAGCATTGTGGCAGTCACATTGATGGCTGAGGTGGCATGCTACTCAGGAACCAAACAGACTGGATTTAACACAGTTCCATCTTTTACTAGTCAGGTGACTTGAGCCATCTAGGTCCCAGTTTCCACATCTGTTAATTGGGGACAACAATACCTTCCTTTAGAGGCAAATAGTAAACATTCAATAAAAGGAAAGATGTAAGCCCTGGCTGGCATAGCTCAGTGGATTGAGCGCGGGCTGGGAACCAAAGCATCACAGGTTCGATTCTCAGTCAGGGCACATGCCTGGGTTGCAGGCCAGCTCCCCAGTGGGGGCCACATGAGAAGCAATCACACATTGATGTTACTCTCTCTCTCTTTCTCCCTCCCTTCTCCTCTCTAAAAATAAATAAATAAAATATTTTAAAAAAGAAAAAGGAAAGATGTATAGGGTAGCATCACATAGCATGATGGCTAGAGAACAGATTCCAGGGCCAGTGTATTGAAACTTGAATCCCAGCCCAGCAACTTACTAGCTATACAAACTTGAGCAAAGTTATTAACCTCTTGGAGCCTCGGTTTCCCCATATCTAAAATGGGAATAAAATGGTTCCCATTGCTTAGAGTTGTCCTGAGAATTAGACAAGTTGGTGTTTGTAAAGTGCTTAGAAAAGGGTTGAGCACTAAGTGTTTGTTTAATTAAAATGAGTCCCACCTGTCCCCTCAGGAAGATCACACCCATGGGCTTCTCGCCACCCAACAGGCAGCACTCGGCCCCCGAAATGCAGATCTCTTAGGTTCTGGTGTCTCATATCTCTTGTCTTGCCCGCTGGTTCCTAATTCACAGTTTTGCTCTGAACTTCAGCAGAAGTTCACTCTGAACTGTGAAGACCCACACTGTCGGCGACCTGCCCAGGCCCTACACTCACCACCCTTCCTGGGTTCCCCAATCCTGGCACCCCTCCCAGTGGCACACCTCACTGCTGCTGCCCACCACTAACCACCCTTCCCCCCACCCCCTGCCGCATCTCCATAGGCCAAGGGGAGGAGGGGGCTTGGGGAACTTGAGGGATCCAGAAGTTCAAGCCTCCCTGCAGAAGCACAGCTCTGCCAGAAGAGCCTCCCTTCCCAGAGTGCAGGAAATGCAGGCATACACAGCACAGCAAAGGCCTTAAAGCAGGGAAGCATTTTTAAAAACAGAGAGGCAGCAGTATCCTGTAGTTGGTTGTCTGGAGCTAAGGATCAGGGTTCCTGGATCTGTCCTGGCTCTAATAAAATGAAAAATAAATATTGAGAGGCAGATGGCGCAGTGTGAGAATGCAAACCTGGGCCCACACTGCCTGGCCCCAAAACTCAGACCTGCTGCCTGTTGGCTGACAACTGACCTTGGGAAGTCATTTGTCATCACTGTGCCTCAGTTCTCTCCTCTGTAAGCAGAGATCACAATACAAGCTCCCTGAAAAAGTTGTCCAGAAAATTGGATGAATTATGTAAAGATATTAGAACACTACCTGGCATTAAGTGTATTATTATTATTACCATCATCATCATCATCGTGTGTGTGTGTGTGTGTGTGTGTGTGTGTGTGTGTGTGTAATTCAGGTTACATAAACGTGTCCCTGTTCTCTGCCTCAAGTTTCTCAACTGTGAGCTGGGTCAGCTCAGACTTCCTTCCTCTTTTCCTGCAAAGGAAACAGGGAGGTCTTAGGACAGAGCACCATCAAGAAAAACTAGCGACTTTTCCCTTCATCATGCTGCAGGCACAGCCCCAAGGCCGCCCGGGGCTGGAGGGAAGCCAGCTGGGGAGGGGGGGTGCTCCCATTTTCCTGGTGTATCTAGGCTACAGCCTCTGGGAAATAAGCACACTTCCCAGTTTAGCAACATCAGATTTCAGGTCGTAGAGCTCCCAGGCTGGCTGGCGGAGGCAATCCGGGCTGCCTCATTAGAATGCAGCAGGTGTGCCCACCCTCAGTTTAGGATGTTGGTCACGGTCTTAGGGAAGCTAAAAATAGGCTGTGTCAATTGCACACTCCCTGCTGGCTGCAGAGTCACCTCTAAAGCTGAAAAAGGCTCTGTTCATGAAGCTGACCCCAATCTTGACTCTATTTAAATATATTAACAAAAGAAAAAAATCCTAACTGGTTCAGGCAATATGTGTGGCAAAGGTCACAGATAGCTCCTGCACCCCTTAGCTGCCATCCAACTCTGATTCCAAGGCTCTCTGAGACTCCCTAGCAGCCAATTTACAAAGTGTCAACCATGTGAGCACATTGCATTCATGAGGGAATCAGATGAATAGATGTAGAGGGTCATTCAGCTCAATCACAACAGGTCATGGGAATGAAGAGGTGACTGTGGCCCCGTCCCTGATGTCATAGGCTGTTAGTCTGCTGCAGAGGGGCCTTGCACTCTGCCCATGAGCTCATAGGTGAACCCTGTCCCAGGAGGCTGGGAGTGGGGTGGGAAATAGCAGTGGCCCATAATCCCTGGGCATTCAGCCACCTGGGTGATACCACAAATACCTTGTGAGCATCTGTTGCAGCGAGGCACTGTGCGGGTCCTGTGGGAGAAACAGATGTGCAGGACAGAGCCCTCAAAAGACTTTGCTTTCTAGTAGGAGTATAAGGCTGCTGAGGGCTCCACTAGATGACGGAATAGATTTGTTTCACAATAGAAGCTCAAGAAAATTGTGCTGGGGGCTCAAAGGAGAGAATTTGTTTCCATTTAAAGAGTCAGAAAATCCTGGGATAGTAGTGGTGGGGAAGGTGGGAAGCTTTCTGAATGGATTTTGGTAGGTGGAGGTGATGGGAAGGATTCTATGAAGAAGGGACAGCTTGAACAAAGATGTAAAGGGGCCAGAAAGCAGTGAGCTTGTTTGGGGAACAATTTGGCTCAGATAGTGGGAGACTGGACTGAAGGGAAAGTATGGCCAGGCTATGATGTAATTAAACACAAGACAATGGGGAGCTGTTGGTGGTTTGTAACCACAGAGTTCTATGTTTGAACTCTACTTTAGGGAGATTAATGTGGTGACTGTACCACAGGGGCAAGGAGAAGAAAGGAAAAGTGGAAGGACTGGCAATGGGGAGGCAAGGTATGAACTTACAAGGTATGAACTTACAAGGCTATTTGTATAGTTCAGTGAAGAACTAATGGGAACCTGGAGGATGGTTGAGTGAGAGGGGCTGCCTGCCAAAGAAGCTGCAGAAACAGAACCTATGGAAGTTGGCCACTGATGGCAAGTCAGGACCCAAAGGTGGCTCCCACAATTCAAGGCTGGGGGACTAGGCAAATGGTGGTGACATCAACAGAAACAAGGAAGTCAGCAAGAAGGGCAGGTTGGGCAGGGAAATGATGCATTTCAATTCGCACATGAGTGTGCAATGCTATTGAGACATGTAAGGAAAGATGTTTAGCAAGCCAACATGGAGTCCCTGTCAATAAATATCACAAATCAAATTAAACAGCAAGTGGTAAACTGAGATTACACCTCTACTATGCATGGAAGACAAAGGTTCCTTTACATGGACAGAGCTCCTACAAACCAATGAGACAAAGAAGAGCATCCCCAATTTAAATCAGACAAAGGTCTTACAGCCAGTTCACAAGAGAAGAAACACAAATGGCAAATTAACACCCAACAGAAATGTTTAACCTGTTTAGAAATCAGATAACTTTAAATTAAAACAAAAAGTGGTCACTTTAAAATACCAAATAAGCTCAACTACTCCCTCAAACTACTAAAACTCTGCACTTTTAATGGTTGCAGAAAAATAGGTACTTTCATACGTATCTAGTGAGAACTTTTCGGAGGGTAGTTTGATAAAATCCATTCAATGTACTAAAAGCCCAAATTTGTTAGCCCAATAATTCCACTTCTTTGTCATTTATCCTCAGGAAAGAATCATGGATAGTCATAAACATGTGGCTACAAGAATTTTGCGATAGCACTATTTAATGGCAAAATATAGGAGTCAATTTAGAGGTTCCACAAAGCACAACTGATTGCATCTGCCCTGCTGTCTGGTTGTGGTAACTATTTCTGCATAATAACCTTCAGACTTGACCTTGTGGAATGCTTGCTGCCCCAATGCGTATGGCATGCCCTGCCTTGCTCTGACCCCAGCTCCTCCCAAGCACCCCAAGCTCGGAGCACTGACATTTGTGGAAGGTCTCCCGATACTGGTTTCTGTCCTGTCCTGTCAGCTGCATATGGTACATTGACACAGTATAGGCTGCATTACATAGCCTTTTACATGCTGTGGAAGAGTGTTTAATAACACAGAAATACAATCATGATAAGCTGTGGGTTGAGAAGAACAAGTAGGAGAATAGACGACACGATTGCATTTTGAAAATTAAAACCTATTCATGCCTATATGTGATGAAGGGGGACTCTGGGCTTGTCACAGGATGTTGGATTGTCAACAGTTAATTCTTTTCTTTCTTGTGCTTGTTTATAGTTTCTAAAATGTATGCCATTAGTAATGCTGCTTTTGTAAATAGCAAGAGCTAATATTGGGAAAGGAAAGGAAATGTGATCCCAGAGCTCCAGAGGGAAGCTGAGGCTGGCACACTGGATTGAGAAACCTTTTGCACAAGGTAGTGCAGAGAGGAAAGGCTGAGGCATTCGCAAAGGAGAGACCCTCAGGAAAGGAGGTAGACGGCGTGAGATTGGGCCTGAGAGCGAAGCTGAAACATTATCTTCCGAGGACCTTGGAGGCATCAGGGGGCCCAGGGAGAGAGATGTGTCCTCCCTTCTCCAGTTCTGTGACTGCCCCTCCTCTGAGGACACACGACCCACACATTGCACTCCAGGAATGGGTCAAGGGCACCAAGAAAGACAACTGCCATGCAGCCTTACAGATCCAAAAGGATGCTC